GGGGGCGGGGCGGGCAGGGGGCCGACACGAGGTCTGCTTACCGTCTCATTGTGCGTTGCTCCGCGTGATGATGTGCAGCAGCCTGTCCTGACGACCCGCGGCCCGCCCCCCGCACCGAACTGGAGGTGCACCTCGGCCCGAACGGCCGGGATCACACGAACTTACCGCCCCTCCTAGTTACGGAATGACTGTGATTGTCTGGATCCACCACGGGGACATTCAGAGCAGCTCAGATGCATTCGGAAACCCGCCGGGCCAGAGTGAGAAGTAGGTCTGTTCGTTTTCTCGAAAACGCATCATAGAAAATAGCTCCCGCCCCCTATTCGGGGCCCCACCCTGCTAGTGCACCGTGACCGGGGGGCACCGCCGGCTGATGGGGCCAGAGCTAACGAGCGTTGGGAGTGAGCGCGCCGGTCACTGGCCGCCGACCTGCCGTGTCGTTTGGCCATTAGGCCCCCGTGGCCCGGGAGGCGGGTGTCCCGGCGCGCCCGCCTACACGGAGTTCCCCGGTCGGATGGTGTCACGAGGTGGTGCCGCGGGTGCGAGCGACTTCATGACACCATGACGATGACGAGGCACTCCGCGCTCATGACGCCGCGCCGGCGCCGGACGGAGCTGCAGCCCTTTGTTGTGCGGAGTGAGCTCGGTGGTGTGTTTCCCGCTGTTGTGCTGGTCCAGCCCCGTCGCTCAGCGCTCAGCCGACAGTTTTCTCTTCACTTCTTTGAAGACTTGTTTTGACGGGCGCGATGCGACGCCCTGGCCTGGTGGACGGGTCCTCTGGACGGGGTCGGGGGGCGTGGAGTGAAGTGTAGAGGCCTGGCCGGGCGTGGCCCACCCCGTCCGTCAGCTGTGGCTGGCAGGCTGGCAGGTCCCGAGGAAAACAGATTGTTTTTACACTGGCAGCCAGAGCAAACTTGTGCCTCCCGTTTCCCAAAGCCGCATGCGGCTGCTTATTTGTGGACTTAACGGGACAAAGTGACGCGGGTAATTATCCCGTTCGGGGCCCGGGGGCGTGTGCTGGCAGTGCTGGCCAGAGGACTCTGTGAAACGCGCAAGCTGATACTCTATTAGAAAATATGACATGTGTGTGAGACGGGGGCGTGCGTTTTCAGAATTCCTCCGTCAGTTGTGCCTGTGCTCCCCTTTTCCAGTATCCAGTGGACCCATCCCCTTCTTAAAAATGCTCCACCTCACGCTGGCTGCTCTGCTCTACCCGCCCCCGACCCACCCCTTTTGTCCACACGAGCCGAGTCAGAGCAACATCCGGGGCACCTACACTCAGCCAGCCAGGTCGCGGACCCGCTGGGACTAACGAGCTCCGACATGAGGCATCCCATAAAGATATAGAGCCGTCTTTAGCTGGGCCAGCGAGGGATCAGTGTTCCCGTCAGACCTGGTCGCGACATGCGGCCGTGATGGGGTCAGCCGCCGCCGATAGGCCGCGCCCGACCGCAGGTGTCTCCCGCAGGGGAATGCCCTGCTGGTCGAGCCGGCCAGGCTCTCTGGGGCCTGGATTCCACCGAGCTCTCTTAAGGCGCCACCCTTTCTCATTGCACTACGATCGGCACGCATGTGGCCTTCATACCAGCGCGTAAACAAATAAAACTGCGCCGGGATTGGCGTCTTATCGCGTAAATACGGGGCGTTTGTGTGCGGCAAGGTCGGCGTGGCTGCACTCCCCTCGGCAGGGGACAGCGACACGCGGGAGCGCTTAAATTCACGTCGCTTAAAATGTCCATTTTAAGGACGTTTCGAAACCCTTTCTGCACGCGGTGCCCTTATTCTTGTTGTTTTCTCTTGTCGCAGAGGAGGAATCGGAGCAGAACTACCACGGAATGCCGCCAGAGGTCGACAGCGGCGCGCTCCTGGCCCCGCCTCCCGGGTCGCCATTGGCTGAGGACGGGTCCCCGGCGCCTCCCCCTCCCGCCGCGCACCAACCTCGCCTGAGGTTCGGGGACGCTGCTACCGCCGCCGCCGCCGCTGCTGCCGCTGCTGCCGCCGCCGCAATGGGCCCGGAGGGGGCAGAGGCTGCAGGGGACGGGGGGCCCGGGCCAGAGTGCGGCTGCGGCGCAGTGCAGGACGACGAGCGTTCCGCCACGGAGCAAGTTGTAACGGAGCACGTCACAGACCTCGCCGAGCACGACACGCAGGAGGAAGCCGAGTACTGCCCGCGCGATCTGAGAGTGCTTCACGTGGAATCGGACCACCAGCACCACGACGACGAGGACGAGGAAGACGGAGGCGGGGACCGTTATCTTCTGCTGTCCGGCGACGGCGTGCTCGTCAACACCTTCTCAACGGACTTGTACCAACAACATGACCTGTCCGCCTCGCCGCAACTAAGGGAGCTCCAGCGCCTGCGACCCTCCAGCGCCGACGACTCGCCACCCGGGGACAGCCACCCCCACAGCCACCACCCGGACTCAGTCGAGCATCATCACCCGCAGGCTTTCGACGGCGGCGACCTGGCGGCCACCGGCGGCATGCGGCAGTTACCGCCCCTATTCCCCAGTCTGGCGAGTGCGAGCGTGTCGAACAAGCTGCATGACGATTTCCACGTGGGCTACACGTCGTACGTGGATCACACCGTCGATCACCACCACAACGGCCACATGGACGACATCATCAGCAACCTGAAGACGGAAAAGCACAGTGAGGCGCAGACCAGCGTAGTAGTGGAAAATACGGCGCGCTACATGCACAACGGCCACGCCCACTCCGAGCACCACGTCGAGTACCTGCCGCCGCTGTCAGCGCACGCCGCCCTGCCGGGTGGTCACGGCTCCAGGGAGGGCTCGCCGTCGGCCGCGGGGGAGTCTGAGGACGCCCAGTACGACCAGCTGACCACCCTGCAGCCGGGGCCCACCGTCACCTCGGCGGGCACCTCCTCCCCGGACGACAGCCTGTACGGGTCTCACGGCGTCGCGCACGGCGTCACCACCCACGGGCTGACGGCGCTGCCGCCGTGGTCCGGCCTCCAGGAGCAGCAGCAGTCCGCGCACCACGCGCTCTCCAGGTGAGTCCAGTGCTGAGGTGGTAGTATGACGCCCCAAGGCCCGCCGCCGCGGGCCCGCGCAGCTGACGCAGCTCCTTGAATGGCTAGATAGCCCGAGTGTCACTGCCGGCACTGCCCTGGGACACCTTGTGTCGTGACGTCACGGCCGTGATAGTGGCGCTCCGAGGTGTGATAGTGGCGCGGGCCACACGTGGGGGC